AGGTGAAACTAGATTTTATTAATTTCTGGCTTTATAAAAGAAACCAATAAAATCAAAGGTAGTGTTCGACTATTAAAAATGTTTACTAGTAGTGTCAACATTTATTAATACAACTTCTTGAATATTTGTTGGTAAATTTTTGGTAATAGAAATTACTTCTGAATAGTATATAGTACTCTTTTACTAGCTAAAAGAAATTGCTAGAGTATAATTACTACAATATTGCCAGGTATGGAGTAAAACTCATGAAAAGACCTAAGCCTGTGAGACGATAACTACCAACTTTGATTAATTTATTCCATGAAATATAATTATCACTCTCTGACAAAAAATTACTACCTAATTGTATTTAGTACTGAATAACTAATTGAAAGAAGTACATGTGTAGAATAGAATTACTGAATTATTGTAACCCATGGAGTAATACACCTTACAAGACCTAAGCCTGTGGCATGATAGCATCCAATTCTGACAGATTTATTGCATTTTCTGTTTAGTTGCAAATATCTATACTCCATTCGCTATTCTTAAATCCATCTGCTGTGTCGTCATCTTCTTGTTTTTTCTTTGATAATTTGTGGGTAATAGTTTTATTCTGTGGTTTGTTATTCTGCATTCTTATAATATGACCAGCCGATTTTAATCATTGCTTAGTCATATTTATATGCTACATATATTAAATGATACATTTTTTAGTTGTGTCTTGTTCTGCATATACTATTATATTCTTACCTCAACATTTTATGGTTTATAAATTCATTTTAATATTCTAATGTAACACAACAAGTGAATTTGTTAATGAATTTTCACAGCAAATTAACAAAACTTCAAAGTGGAACATAATTCTGACTCATGAACATTGACTCTGAGCTTTAAATTTGGCAGGGTACTTGCAGTCTCAAAAAATTATTTGCAAATAAAAGACACAATATTAAATATAAGAAATAATTCCAAGACCTCTGGTAATAGGTTTTTGGTAATATTCAAAAAAGCCAAAAATTAAATTAAATAAAATAATACAAAAAAAAAAAAAAAAAAGAATTTTTGTTGTTGGAGTTCACTATTTTTTAAGACCTCTCTTAAAACTTTTTATATAATATTTCTTTTCAAACATTTACTTTATTATTGGAGCTTTTCCTTCTATAAATATATAGGTTTTCTACTCTTAATTATTTATTTTCCTTAAATTTTGTTTAGCTAAAAAGATAATATTTATTTCATATTCAAGCTATGATATGATTAGTAGCGCATTTATCTGTAAATCTGACTTTCAATCAGTCAACAGTCTTTCAATCTGTCAACATAATATCAATAAAACATGTCTCGACGCTTTATGTTTCCTTTATATTATTTTATTAATATATTAAATGAATCAATGATATCTTAATGGATCAATGTTATGGAAACGAACAATCCTTTAATGAATTGCATTTTATTTTATACATGACTTTTTGTTGTATTTGAATTAAAAATTTAATAGATATATTTGTATGCGCAAATCTATAAGTAAAACTACATTATAGTAGATATACTGAATATATTTATATATCATATAAATTGTTTTTTACACAAATAATTTATCCCAATGCATTGCCGCCAAAGCAATTTGTTAATTGCAAATATGAAAATATTTAAAAAAAAACAAATTTAATTTATCAAAATATTTTCAAAAAATTTAATATTAATTTCGGTTTTGCAGATACATCCGCCAAAGTAAATAACTTAAAAAATAAAAATGATATAAGCAAAATATACATAAATGTAAAAAGTTGTTTTTCATTATGCAAAATACTTATTTGCATAAAGTCGAGTGGGATTTGGGTTAATATGTTAAAAGTTTTGCCAAAAAGGACGAAAAAGCAAAAATATCATCAGGATAAAATTTACAAAAATAAAAAAAGAAATATAAATGAAAAATAGAAAATCTGTGTACAAAAGTACGGAAAATCTGTCTCTGTGGCTTATGATAACCCTAACTTAATTGGTAGTTGATATGGAAACGGCACCTACGCACCGTGTACTTTGCTGCATTCAAGTTAATAGGTTTATTGCGGCCATTCCTGCCAACGAATCCACTTGCATCCATGCATCCGTGCATGTTGTTACGATATAATCTCCAAGCAAGTTTTTGTTTTCGTATAAAAATGTAAAAGAAAAATATTTTAAAAGTTTAATTATTTTATGTGAAATTGGAGACTCCTAATTAGGAGAAGGAAGCAGAGTGAAAGCACAATAATTGCGCTGCTTTTTACTTCCTAGAAGAGTATTTTGAGTAGTCCATAAAGACCTCGGGTTTTAGTGTTGATGCAATTATATATATAAATATTATTTTTATTTTTAACAAAGTTATTAAAGTTCAAAAATAAATTTTAATGAAAATAATTATGAATAATTAAAAATTAAAAATTTTTAATTACATATATACTTTTCTGATCTCTTATGTATGTTATTGGGTTCAGTATGAATTTCTTCCACTAACCGAAGTTTTGACAATAAATATTATCAAGGTTCTACTCACCATTTATGTAAAGCTATTCGCAAAAGGACACCGAATTAAGGACAAACAGTTTTTGGTCTTTGTATTACAATAGTACCTATAAACCTATCATATGCACCAAATTTTGGATCGTATGACTTTTGGCTATACGTTAAGTTCAATAAAGCGCTCCTAGATACTCTTGGAATTGAAGAGATAATAAAAACGTAATCCCTTCGCACTTTAAAAGCCATTCCATAAATCGACTTAACTAATTGGTAAAAGGTTATTATGCAGGATTGATAAAAATTGTTCAAAAATTCTAGTTATATCATTTCACAACCATGACTTCTGGTATGACTTCTGGTTTTACGTTAAGTTCAAGAACGCGGTCCTGGCTACTGTTTCGTAATATGATTGAAGAGACAAAAATTTCTTAGCAATTTAAAAGCCATTCCATAAATCAAGTAAACTAATTGGTAAAAGTTATTGTCCAGAATTGGTAAAAGCCTTGTTGTAAGAGTATTATATCGATAGGGGATCACTTTAAAGGTGATAATATAGATTTGGAAGAATAAATAAAGATTTTAAAAATTTTAAACTGTTCTAGCTTATTTTTTAATCACTGCTTTAAAAGCACTCGGAATAAACTATATACTCGTATAACTCAAATGGTGTAATATTTGTAAATAATTTGTTTATTTTAAAATAATTTTCTTTAGAAGCAATAAACCCTCAGCTAATCTTTTTACCCTTTTAAAAGGGTACTCTTCCAATAAAGCTCTATGTTTTGGATGGGTACTTTTCCAATAAAGCTCTATGTTATGTATGGGTGCTTTTCCAATAAAGAAGCTCTGTCTATGTTATGTATGGGTGCTTTTCCAATAAAGCTCTATGTTATGTATGGGTACTTTTCCAATAAAGCTCTATGTTATGTATGGGTACTTTTCCAATAAAGCTCTATGTTATGTATGGGTACTTTCCCAATAAATTTCAGTGAGTTTCAGTGAGTTCAAGCGTGATCTTCGTTTTCTCCACAACTGAAAAGAATTTTGTGAAGGTCGTCCCAAAGCGGTTGTTGTTGATAGGAATCATAAGAATTTCTAATAATTTGATAATCACTCAAAAGAAGGCATGTGTTAATTGGTGCAAGGAATGCTGAAGTGGTTTAAAACACGTCTACTACATCGTGACAGGTGACAAATCATTAATCTGCATTTATGATCTCAAAACAAAACAGAAATCCACTGTTTGGATTAAGAAGAATCTGACAAAAGTTCAACGCGGATTGAACAAATCCAAGCAAATGATCGCATATTTTTTTTTCAGAAAAATCAGTCATGTCGCAGCTGTACCAGAATGAATATCAGAATGATATAGAATGATCAATTTTGTGTATCACTCAAACCATTTGTTTAAATCTGGATGTTTTCAGAAAATTGAGAAAACCTAATCGTCGAAGAAAAATCATCCTCCATCTGAGTACTAATGTACTCACAGACATCAGCATCAAAGAAAAAGAGAAAAGAGTTTATGAGCACTCAAAATAGATGGGTAACCCACCTTATAGTCGCGACTTGGCACTGAATGACTTCTTCTTGTTCCCAAATAAGAGCGTTTTTCTACGTCGAAAAGGCCGTTGAGACATTTGAAATGCTACTTTTTGGAGATACTTTTTTGGAGATCAGAGTGGTAAAACAAAACTATTTTTACTGATTAAGCACTGTGCTTTCATTGATAGGCGTTAGACTTAAAAGGCAGTCCAAGTATTCCTAAAGTAAATATTTAATTGGTATCAAATGTTGTCAATTTGCATATACCTTCTGCTCAAAAAGTATCTGGATTTTGAAAAGTATCCGGATTAGACCTTTTTCAAAAATGGTACAAATTTGCTATCTGTCAATTAGTTTGTTTACAGCAGCTGTTAATGTGAGACTACCTCAAGTGCATTTATCGATTTTTACTATGGAAAATTCTTGTTGTACGCAATTTTTTTGACCAAACACGGCACCACTGTCATCGCTCAGGCACCATATTCGCCAGAACTGGCGCCGTGCGACTTTTTCCTGTTCCCGAAACTCAAATTGCCCCTTCGTGGTAAGCGTATGAAAGATTGGGTTAAGCGTTGGCATATGTGTATCGCTTCAGAAGGAGCATGTCGTATTTTGAAGAAGATAAAATAAATTTGGAATAAAATTTAAATTTGTGTATTTAATTTACAAAATCTGGGTAGTTTTTGAGCAGAAGGTATATCAGTTGACCCGAAATGGGTAAACTATATGAAGAATTCGAATTGAATTGAATATACTCGTAACATAATACATGTTCGCGTTTTAGTTTTACTGGTTTTAAAATATTTCAAATCTAAATATATTGTTTATCTAGAACGAGGTCTATATGTACAACTTCAACAATAAAGCAAAAAATAAGCACCGCCAAGTGAAATGGAAATGTTTAATTATTGAAAATGTGGCATAAAAGTGCAAGTACATTGGCTTACGGTATGAAGTTTATACGTACTAACCTTTCAATGAAATTTAATCCAATTTTTGCCAAATAAATGAAGCCATGTATGGATGAATCATGCAAAAATTCAATAATGAACGCTTTGCCTTTTTCATAGAAGCTTGTTGTGGAAACAGCGGTTAAAGCGTTTTCATCATGTGATTCCGTTGATTTTGTCGGTTGCTGCCATTGACGTGGTCGACGTATGCGTCGTATGCTGTGCTGTATGCGTGAGCCGATTGTCTTTAGCATACCATCATTGATGCCGCCACTGTTCCTATCATCAGATGTTTTCTCGTATGGTGTCACTTGTATCACAGCTGCAGTTGCATGATTAAGCCGTTTCGCTGCACCGGGTAGTAATATTTTTTTGTAATTTTGCTTTTGCAGTGCGTATGAGTATTGCGGTGGCGGTGGTTCCGTTAAAGTACTGGGCTTGTTGCTGTTCGCTAGTGATAATGAATTGTATTGTTGTGGACCTAACAAGGATGCAGTGGAAGCTGTCAGTGATCCAGATGTAACGGATTCATCGCTTGATTGAATGTAGCTGTTTTGAAGCTTATATTCATTGTAGTCATTGTTGTCCCAGATGCTTCGACGTGCACGTACCATTTTCCAACTAATGATACCAACTCGTTTGTGGTTAAAATGGTTAAATCCCTATAGAATGTGTTATGTTATGCAGTAGTGTTTATTGCAAAATTTTCCTTTGAGCAGTGGATAATCGGTATGTTTTCTGTTTTGATGTTTATTATTTGAAAAAGTTCGCACTTTTCGTGCTTGTGTAGGTAATCTTTGGTATCTTTGTAGTACAGCAGATCTGGAATGAAGTGGGTTTCATAAAAGGATACTTTAATGCCTTTGAAGTGTAGTATTTTATTGCGAACAATATTCAAATAACTTAAATTTCGGATAAAGAATAGAACAAAAATTGTTTTTAGTCATTAAAGTCAAGTACATAAAGTTTTTTTAATTAGTTTTTACATACCAATATTTCTATAATAAAAAGAGAAGATAAGTAAAAAAACGTTTAAGTATAACTTTTAAAAATAATTTAAGTAAATTTACACAAATGTTTAAGATACAAATACTTTAAATCTTAATTGCTCCGGTTTTAAATAATTTATAAAATATTTGATTTAAATGTGTTACCATATTGGAATATAGTAGAATTTAGCAGGTTTGTGGACTTCCAACAGAGTAAGGTTATCAAACAAACTTTTTTGTGTTAATATATTACAGTACCTGTGCAGAAGCCTATAAGAGTTTTGAGTGTCTCTCATTCCATATTTAATAATATTAGAGATAAAAAGGAGTGCTCGTGCTCGGCCTATTTCAAACCAAAAGTTCAAACCAAACGTTCAAAAGTGGTTCAAACCAAAGGTTCAAAAGTGGTTCACACCAAAGGTTAGAATCTGGTTATACCCAAAGGTTCAAAAATGGTTTAAACCAAAAGTGCAAACCGGGTTTAAACCTAGTTCAAACTAAAGGTTCAAACCTGGTTCGATTCAAAGTCCAGTATTTGCACAGAATGTGACTAGAAGTTTTATCACAATTTTCGAAGAGAAACCATTCCGTCACTTGAGGCAGAATGATCTAACTAAATTGGTATTGCAGGTGTAGCCAGGTATTTTTGTTAGCAATATAGACTATATTCTATTAAAAATGGGTTTCTACTTTCAAATGTAAAGATGCAATAGTTTTTTTGTACTAACGGTTATTTGGGGTATTGTCTCATTAGCGACTTTGTTAAACTTGTATACAAAGTCGTGGATCTTCAATTTTATAATGAGGCTCCAGTTCATAAAACTGCACTGTTCGTTGGAAATTCTGGGAATTCATCGGTATTCATTCTTAGTCGTAACTAAGAATTGAGCAAAGTAATATTTAGTTTGAGCTTGTCAATAGCTGCAGTATGTGATATCAGCTTGCGAAACATCTTAAAAGAAAGAGTTTCAGGCAAATAATACTTTGATTGTTACTTGACTATCTGAGCATATACAAATATGGGCTTCTTTCAACCACTCAGGGAGCTTAGGTTGAAGGTGGACATTGAATGGCGTTTACCTTTGCTTAAATGTCAATAGCTCATATAACCAGTTTGAGCAAGCTTCTGGTGTTAGAGCCAAAAACACCAGTATTAATTCTTTCATTTGTGTTACAGCTCACTTCTTCAAATCATGCCTGTAAATGATTTATAGGCAGATTTTTGACTTTTGATACACTGTTGACTTTTATGTATATTTTTAAGAGAGTGGGTATTTCTGTCGATGCTTTTTCTATTTATAGAGGTAGTTCCAGAAATTCTTTTTCATTATCGGTTATTTTTAATTTCATTATTAAAGTCAAAATATTGTGTATTCATGCAGATTTTCATGGTATACGTTATCTCTGTTAGTGCTTTCTCTATTTCTAGCAGTGGTTCCCAAGCTTTTATTGATCAATGACTACAATGATATTTTTGTTTTTAATGGGGACCAAAAAGTTTAAGAAAAATAAACTGCATGAATATTTTAATATGCTTTAAGCATCTCTGGTAAAATAAATAATGAATTGTATAATTGCATAGGTACATTATATAGGCAATAAAATAGGTATAGTCTAATAATAATAGGCCTAATAAGTGAGGTGTCATTAAACAAACTACAAGCTATGTATCTATACCTGTTACTTTTGATTTACTGACATTTTAACTGTCTAGCGGACCACTGGTTGTGAACCACTGATATAAAGAGATAGTTCTGGAATTAATTTTTCGGTATAGGGTTTAATTTCTTTAACGGTTTTGTTTTAATTTTATTTTTTGAGTCAAAAGAGTTTTCCTTTCATGGAGTAGGACCTTACCGATATATGCTCCTTGTATATATGTATTTCTTGATTATTGTTAAAGACTCGTAGGTATACTGCTTCTATATTTACGTTGGACGGATAATGCAATATAATGTATGTTACTAAATGCGTAAGTTTAAGATTCCAGACGCTTTTCAAAATAGTAAGTATTGTCTAGATATGGATGAACTCGAATATTAATATTAAATATAATTTAATATTTATATATTTGAGATATTTATATATTCTTGCGTGGTAAATAATACATTTAAATGTTCATTGTGTTGTCCACTTAAATAAAATGTTTGGTGTATTATCCAAATAATAACATTTAATGCTAATAAAGCTTTTTGATAAACGCCAAATGTGGCAAAATCCACAATATTCATTTAATGAAAAAATAACTGAAATTTTCGCAATGAGAGCAAATGCCGTTGTGTACACACAAAGTAACGTTTCCATAGTGCATTTTTGCAATTCCTGGCCTGAGAATGAGCCATTCCTTTGTTTATTTTCGTTTTTCTGGACGATGTCCTGTTCAAACGGTTCGTTTTCATTTCGCGCCGTAGCTCATTTATATGTAAATTTTAATGAAACTGTAATCCAGTTTTAAGCTTTGTACACATACGCGCAATAAGCAAATATGTATGTCCTTTGATGTTTTATGCATAAAATGCGTATGTGGATGCACTCGTCCATTTAAAATCCCTTTGTGCCGCTGCATACTTAATTCAATTGAAAGTAGAGACTTTATGGAGTGAAATGAAACAATGTGGATGAAGTGAAGACAAGGAGTTTAAAAAGTTATTTAAAAATATCACTTAGTAACTAACGGACTAGTGAATAATAGGCACATATGTGTTTTAATAACTAATATCAATGAAGTTTCATTAATACACTGTGATGGTCGGGTCTCTTGTGCCCCCTTCTGGGCTTAGAGTAGGTCTTTAAGCCCTGTTGCTTCAATAAAAAGTAGTACAGAATCTACTTTACAGAGTTTTATTGCCTCTTCCGTAAGAATATACATTCCTAAGAGCCTATTTCGTATGTGCATAAGCGTAGGCCATTCTAACAGCACATGTGTGGCCGACTCGTAATTTTCTTCACAGAATATACATTTTGCATCCGTAAATATACCCAGTTTTGTAAGGTGGTGTTTTAGTCTACAGTGCTCTGTTAGAATTTCTGTGATGATTCAAAATTTATCTCTTATAGGTATATACAATAATGGATTTATTATTGTAATAGGTCCAATAATAGAATCAGATTACTCTGGTTCCCCTTTATTTTTATGAGAGAAAGGAGCGTACTATTTCCTAGTTCACAAAAAGATTCCGGTCCCATCATCGATGTGGCTGCTCTTTTTCTGGTTAATTTGTCCGCGTATTCGTTTCAGCGTACGCCAGTATGTCCCGATACCCAAAGAACTGACACCTGATTTGTTTCGCCAAGCAGATTTAGCTTATCAACGCACCTGATGCGAGTTTTCATTAATATATACCCAAAATAATTTCTATTTTATTGATTGTGAGTTAATATAGAATATTAATTATATTTAGTAACAAATTACTTCTTTTGATAAATTAATATTTACAAGTCTCTTTGGTCCTTAAGTTTGTTTTGTTCTCATCCAAACAGGAGGATTACACGCAGAGATCTGCATTTTATCTTTGTGTATAAATTTATGCTTTATTATTTTAAAGTAGCTTTTCAGGCGTACAATAAACCAAATGCAAATATTTTCCTTTTGCAGCATTAAAACGATATCAGCTGTATTTTTTATGCTCCTTGACTGCGCTTGATGCGCTTAATGCACTTTCTGCATTCGCTTGCTATGCTTGGTGAAGTATATGAGTTGAATCTAAGGTTACTAGTTATTGCCTTTTTACTTCAGCAGTGGTTAACAGTCAAGGAGGAGTACGCACATTATCCTTCTTAAGAAATTAATATTATTTATGGAAATTTGCAAGCATTGTATTAACAACTCGTTGCAGTTATAATATGGAAATAAGAAATTAATTAATGAGGAAAATAAATTACATCGAATTCTGATAAATTGGAAAAATAAAACTGGAGTTGAAATGATGGGATATAAGGTAACTCCGTTTTATTTTATATATAGATCGTTTATTTTTTTTTTTTGGAAACCTTAGAATAATAATATAGCAGTTCAGTAGCAAGTTCACCCATGTTGCTACTCGGTGTCGTACTTAAATTGATTAATCTCTATTAGTTTATACCAGAATTCTAGAGTAATGTGGTAGATACATATGAAATCTTCTTTATTTAAAAATTTTCTGCGATTTTAAATTTATACATTTTGTGTATATTTTTATGAAATAGAATAATAAATAGAAATAGAATAATATTATTTTATTATTATTATATTATATTTCAATTTAATTACCAAAATTTTCTATATCTTAAATATGAACACCTGCTTAGTTTTGTATATTACGAGGGCTACCTTTTAAGTCTTGCGCAAAACAATGAAAATTCTCGAAGTATTCTTCATGATAAATAATAAATTTTTAAATTTGATTGAACCAATTTTCGAAACAGTTTTGCCACTTTGAAGTATGAAGTATCTTCGAAACCAGGGAATTAAATATCCCAACGGCATAAACAGGTATAGAAAAACACTCGCCACGTATTTTTTCTTAATATTTGGGAACAAGAAGCAGACATTGGGTGTGTCAAGTTGGAACTGTAAAGCTCAAAAACTCTTTTGTTTGAGCTGATGTATGGGACCTCGCATTGTCGTGGTGGAGGATGATCTTCCTTTGAGAGTTGAGAAAAACTCTTAATTCTTTGAAGACTTTCGGCAAACAAATGGTTGTGTACTACTGAGAACATGTCGTCCTACTTTGTTCAAGTGGTACAGTTGCGGCAAACATGCGAACCATTTGCTCCATTCGCGGATAACTTTTTTCGGATTCTGCTCTCTAACAGTGAATTACTATTAGTTTTTCGGACTCATAAATGTAGATCCATGATTTGTTACCTGTCACGTTGTAGTAGATGTGTTTTGAACTATGTTGGCGGTATTGTGACAGCATTTTTTTTGACAACATTCGTGTGCTTTTTTTTGAAAAATTGTCGAATTATGGAAAGTGCAACGTTAGCATATCCTGCTGACAGCTAAAATTTGAATATATGCTGGCTTTATTAATG